GACCACATAGAACAAGCAAGGGATGTTGGTTTGAAAAAAAATGGTTATGCATGTGACGTGTTAATGCATCTGCTTTCCGCAGTTATTTATTTGCTTAATCAAAGTGGCTACATAATGGACACAGCCCACTTACGATTGATTGGACTTATCAGCTCGCGAATTGCTGGGCATGAAATGGAAGCGTTAGCGCAGATTGTTTCAACCAATTCGTGCGCGTGAACAGGGCGATCGCGTTGTAATTTATATGGTAGACTTTTTGTTTGGCTGATCAAGTTGATGCACTCGCGACGTTCAACAGTCCCTGGACAAAATATTGCTGCTTAATAATTCGATGAGCCGTAGTAACAAGTGCGGTTGCGAACACAAATGAATTTTACCAATAACTAGCTGACTTAGGACGACGTATTCCGCTAGATAATAGCGGCAGCTTCCACAGATAACAGGAGCATCCACTAGCGTTACTTCACACCCGAAAGCTGTCCTGCTGTCACCTCTGCTCATTCTGTGTGCTCGCCAACAGCTCCTTTTTCTATTGAGCTACTGTGAAAAGAGTAAGGATAAATCACACCCGTCGTGTGTTATTTCTTGGGGTTGCTTTGTTTGATGGATCAGATTTAGTTTGCAGTAAGACCTGTTTGCAGTGACAGGTTCCCGAAACAAGCCAGCCATATTTACGACAAAAATGGCGTGGTAGTTCAATTTATGGCACATTTATCACTAAGGTCAAATCTTAAATCGCTTAAAAATAAACAATTCCATTCAGCCCTTTGAATTTGATACCATCTCATTTTATTCATTTAAGCAGTGTATTCGATATTTAAGCGCCTACAGCAAATCTCTCAGGCAGCGCCGGAAGCTGTAGACGGCTTAGAAAGGGAGCGCAGCGAGCAGCATGTACCACGGAGGAGCTCGAGATTGCGGGGACAAGGTGCTTGAATTTGCTTTTTCATCGTCCTGTAAAAATTTTATAATCTCGTGTCTGTCTTCCATGCAATTCTCGATCTATTTGGCAACTCTACACAGAAACGCCAGCGACTGACGCCCCCACCGAACGAAGCGTGGATGAAGGCGATCATGAACAACGGGAAGAAGATAGATAGTTGTCATCCTGCATCGACAGTAACGTCTCGTGGGGTATTCTCGTCGTCGACTGTGGCTTGGCGGGGAAGAGCGCCGTCGGACTATTCTCGACCATCGATAAATCCGGGGCCGTTACAGTGTCATCACTACACTGCCGCATCAAGATTACAAGGGAAAATAGCAGAGCGCCCTTTTCCTAATCAGGCCAGACCAACAGAAAGCTCAGTGGGGACCCAAGGAAGAAGAGGGATTCAAGAAAAATTGACAGATGTAGCACAAGGGTTTCCGATAAGATCACCAGATATAATGTCTGGATATCAAGCAATGTCAGTGGCCGATCCTGGAATCTATCAGGAAAGAACAACTAAAGGCTCTGTAAGTCATCAAAATAGGACTTTGGATGGGGTTTATCAGAGAAGAATGATTGAGGCGCCAATAGATTATCAAAATGAAACGGCGAACGAAGCAGCCGCATACCCTAAAAGGCTTATATATGGTACTGTTCCTCCCGAGGAACAAATAGTAGTTAACCATACAGAAACGCAGCCATTTCAGAGCAGAATAACAGAGGCATCGACCTTAGACACGATGGCGAAGGAATACAAAAAAGACAAAAAGTTGCCTCTGAGAGTAGAAGAAATGCTGAGAGAACAGGTAAATTTGGACGAGTCGGATTTGCAAGACGCGTTTTCTGTGGCCATGGAAGACCTTATTCCAGAGAAAGAAGCCAACTTTGTGGCCAAGGGATTGTGCCATTTGTGTGGAATCAGCGAGTACCATTTTGTCCCTGTGGTGAATTTTTGCCCTCATGCGGACGAGCACCATTCATTGTGTCGAGAACATTTGCGTGGCGTATATAGAGTGCGCATGGAAGCTTTGTTTGTTGGTAGAAACGGATCGGCACCCAATCACCGCCTTTTACGATGCTTGATGTGCACTCGAGGCTGTCCGTGCTCCAAGTGCATCGCAGAAAGGGAACAGGATATACGAAAGTACAAGCGCTATCTTGTGGACACGCTGCATCGTAGCGGACAAGGTTCAGTCGTTGCGTTGAAGGACCATGCTGCTACTAAAGAGAATTCGAGGCCTAGAGCGGCAGTGCCGGATATTGAATCTCAAGGTCGACTGACTTATAGAGGCCATCCAAATATGAGTCCAAGCGATGATTATCAATATGCCCAATACACCCCTTCCACGGAATCAGACCTTCGACCCTCTTCTCAACGGAAAGAAGTGAGTAATGTCCAGTCAGAAAGCTTGTACGATGCACACACGCATGTGCACACACAGGACACTGAATATGAAAAGTCTACACCGATGGAGCAGAATTACCATGAAGAAGTTGCTTCTGATATGCAAGCTGAGCCAAAGTCTCCGCACCCCCCTGTTCCAAAACGTGCAGCTAAAGATACGTCTATGAGCTTGCGTAATGTGATGGCAGACAGTGCGCAAGCCTCTTATGCTCGTCTTTCCGGTCGAGTAACAGCACCTCTAGTTCACCAGGGCTCTGTGGAATCACCATCTGCTGCTACTGTACTAAATTGCGCCGAATCGGAAAAATCATTGGTACAACTGCTTAACTCATTAAACCAGGGTGGCAATACTGCAATCTCAACAGAAATGGATGCAAGCAGCCAGTCGAGCATGTACAACGTTCATCGCCAAAGTGAATTGCGCTCAGCTGCGAACGAAACTCAGGCTACAAATGAAAAAAGTGGGAACGCGCAAAATTCTGGCGACAAGGAATCAGAAATGTTTCCCCGAGCCTACCCTAGTCGTGTCCGGCGTCGAGAAGCTCGTCCGTATCAAGAACAATCATCCACCAGCTCCGATGAGTCGGATGGTATCTCGCGCCCTAACTTCACGAGTGCTGAGGCTCAATTTGTTGATGAGGTTTCGGCACAGAAGCCAACAACTAGCGATAATGTTGCCAGCAACAGTATGACTTCTCGTTGTTCGGCATCACTAGACGATGATGTTGTTGAGCGTGATGCAGAAACATATTCTAGTGATGAAAAACGGACCAAGCCTGGGTTAAAACTTAGTGTAAAGGTTCCCAGCCATGAAAAAAGTTCTTTGCACGTTGGCGCGAAGAAGGATACCCGTTTGGTGTCGACACCAACCTCGTCGACTCGTGGTCCAGGGCGTCCACGTAAACCTCTTGCATCAGGCGGATTGACACCTCCAGTGAAAAAGGTTGCACCACAAGTTGCATTACCCGCTAAGAAGAGAAGAGGTCGACCTCCTGGACGTACAAAGCAAGGAAAGAAAGCTGACCAAAAGACAGAGGATGAAGTTTATGATGCGGATCACGATGAAAAACGAGAGGAAAATGACAGTGAGTCGGATAGTGAACTGGACGCCAATTTGGATTTTTGTGAAGTTTGTCAAGGTGCTGGTGATCTGGTCTGCTGTGACAAATGTCCACGTTCCTACCACTTAAAATGTCTTCACGTGACAGAGAACGACCTGCCTGAAGGCAATTGGCAGTGCGATGAGTGCAAGAAGCCGTCGCGATTTGATGCTTATTCCACGGCTGTAGCCTCTGAAAAGACTTTGCTTGACAAATGTCTAAAAATTGTTGCATGTTTAAAGTCGCACCCGTTTTCAAAACCATTTCTAACACCTGTTGAAAACGTACCAATGTATACGCGGGTGGTAAAGCAACCGATGGATTTGTCAAAGATTGAAAACAAGTTGAAAAAAGGGGCGTACGTGGTTGATAGCTTCACAGTGACCTCTGGCGTGAAGGAAGTGAATTGCACGCAATTTGCTGACGATATTCGTCTCATGTGGTCAAATTGCAAGCTTTTTAATGACGACGGATCGGGAATTACGCGTGCAGCTGATATTCTTTCCGCGGGTTTTGAGCGTTTGTTTGACGAGTCCATAAAACCATTATTAACATTGTGAGGCGTTCGCTGTCATATTGGTGCTGTTCAGTCACTTGTGAGTCTTGTGAACAGTGCCAACTAACATTCGTATTGTCGGCAGTATTTCTCTAGGAGTATTCATATAAGCCGCAGTGCCGACTATTTTAAGTATGAGTTTAGTTGCTATTTTTATGTCTGGTTTTTACTTTGCGTCTAAAAGGAGCATTTCAGATTCTAAAGCTCAAATGATGGAACTTGCCTTGGACGAAGAAGGTGCTCAGGTGACAGCTGTGACTTCGTATGACCCAGCCTACCCACCAATAAATATACTGGACGGGTAAAATATATGCTAGAATTTCTATGGACAATCAGTGCGGCAATTAAATCACACTTTCCATGATGAGCAGTGAGCTATCTTCAAAATGGGTGACTACTGGAAGTTTTCCTCAAGAAATTGTCATCCAATTAGCAACAACAGCCTTGGTCGCTCGCGCTAAAGTCTGGACGCGGAATGTCAAGGAAGTTTTAGTCGAATCTTGTAGCAGCTTAGCCCCAACGAAATGGGACAAACTTTTTGACTTCAGTAAGAATTTGTTATTTTTATATTCGCCAACCTTTCTAATTCTTGTCAAGAGCTGAACAAGACAGAAGGCGAGATGCAGATTGTGAGTGAGAACATAAATCCGACGGATGCATCCTTTATCAAGTTAAAATTTTTGTCGGGCTGGAACGACTTCGCGGTTGTACATCGGGTTAGCGTGGAAGGCTCGGCTTCCCGACGATGAAGATATCTCAATTTACGCTAAGGTGCAGTCCCGATCGTTATTTTTTGCTAAAGAATGATGTAAGCGACTTCATTCCTGAGCGATCGACACTGTCTAGTTTGCTCTTCTTCTTTGTACTACTAGCACTCGATGGTGTCAGACGCTTGGGCCCGTTCTCGGTATTGTGACGCCTATCGAATCGCTTGAACGTGTCCTGCGAGACGAGCTTAGCTGTAGCTGTCACTTCCACAACTTCTATGCTACATAATAAAAAACATTAGCAACAAAATCTTGAAAGATTAGGAGAGAAATTGATTATACTTAAAGGAGTCGCGAAGAACTTCAACCCACTCCTCTGAAATATACTCGCCAAGAATTTTGATCGCTTCACGGTAATGTTTTGTGATATCCTGGGCCGCAGTCCTGTCCATATTCTGTTTCGTAAGACCTGGTAGAGTTATTTGTTCATCGATCGCTAAAACCTTGGCCCTAACATCCAGTTCGTGCTTGGCCAACACCACCGCCACCTTCTCTACTTTTGCCCTGAGCCAGCTCGTGACTTTGACCCTGTTAATTTTGACAAGAATATTTTCAACTCCATCTCCACTCCCAACAGAATGTACGTCGCAAAGCATTTCAATCATCTCTTGACGCAGTGTCGAGAGCTGTAGAAGCCACGTATTGCCGTCTCGTGCCAGTAAATCGTACAGCGGCGAAATTCGCGTGTGTTGCCCGGATAAAGCGTCTAAAAGTACAAAGTGTGCATCAACTGGCGAAAAGATCATCACTCCTCCATTTTCCATCACGAAGTTGCCGACGAACCAGCTGCGCGAGCCCTCGACGGGCTGTAGTTTCTGCAGCTCCAGAAGCTGACATTTGTTCTTGTCCAAAGCCAATTGACGCGATCGTCTAGAGTCTGCGCTGGGACGGGAAGTCCACGACACAATTGAAAGAAACGGATATTCTTGTGCATCCGAGTGAAAGCGCTCTAAGTTGACAGACGTTGATAGTGTCGATGGCACCAGCGCCACCAACTTGCGCCCCATGACCCACCAAAATACATTAATTTCTCAAAAAATTCTTATCCTATGTACAATTGGTGTTTTTTGCTTGCGCCATTCACGAGCAAGAGCCACTATGGGGAAGAAAGCTGATCCCAAGCAAAGCTCCATCAAGTAAGCTGAATTTAATCTGAATTTGCATTGACTGGTGATATATGTCTATTTGTGTGTAATGCTTCAAGGTCATTCTTTGGAGCAAGGGTATCTTCACCAACAAAGAAGCGAAAACCTGCAGAAGCCAATGTGGAGAACCCCACTCAGTCACCTGTGAAGCCGTCAAAAGTGGAGAAAAAAAGAAAGGTGGAAAAAAATAGCGGGGTAAACGAGAAGAAATTGGAGAAAACGCCTGAGGACGTTGGGGCTCAAGCAGAGAGAAAAGTAGAAGTGGAGGAAGAGGAGAAGGAAGAAGAGCAAGAAGAAGAAAAGGAGAGTAGGATCAAGATTAAACGTAAGTGCCAGTAAAGAGAATAAAGAAGAAATGATTGTTTCCCTCACTGGCTTTTTTGCAGCTGGTCGACGTCGATTGCGTCAACGCGTCGTTCGAGGAGAGCACGAAGACAGTGACAGTGATTTCAATCTTTCCTATAGCACTAGCAAAACGAAAAGAAAGGAAATACCGACAGAAAAGAAATCAGAGATGTTTATCTCGGAGAAAGTGAAAAGAGCCTCAAAGGAAAAGAGCTTAAATTATGGTCGGGAGACAAAGCAGCAGATGAAGGAGAACGCAGAAAAGATTACATTTAATATCGTCGAGGCTAAAGAGAAAAAATCTATTCAGGTCGAAACTATCGGAGTTCAGGCAGGAAAGGAGGAGGGAAAGCCAAGATTAGATGCTGTGGCTTTTGAAGCATCAAAAGCGAGCTCTTTCATTACAGACTTAGGTCGAAAATCTGAGACAAAATTGACCACGGCGGATGACAAGATGGAATTACATACTGATGGCAAAGTTATTGTCAAGGACTCATTTGGAACGCACGAAGGCCACTGTGACGAAGAGCAGGAAATTCAGTACTCTGAGCTGGCACACTTATTTGCCAAGATTGAACAGGTTACAGGCCGTCTTATTATTCAAGATTTGTTAACGGCGTTTTTCCGCAGCGTAATTCTTCGTTTCCCACACGATCTCTTATCATGCATATATCTATGTGTCTGTGTGGATCTGGCGCCACCCTTTGAAAATCTCAAGATTGGAATCGGTGACGCTATTTTGATGAAGGCAATTGGTGAAGCAACGGGTGCAAATCTCAAATTCATTAAGGAAATGTATCACAAAGAAGGTGATCTTGGAAAGGTGGCGCAGAATGCTCGATCAAAGCAGAAGACATTGTCATTTACGTCGCTAAAACCTGCGACTAGTAGAGGTTGTGGACTCACTGTGCAGCATGTGTACAAGCAGTTTGTTAAGATTGCAAAGATGACTGGCAGCAACTCGCAACAACAGAAGTGTTCAATCATCAAAGGTTTGCTTGTAAAGTGCGAGAAAGAAAAGAATGACCAAGGCGCGCAGTCTGCTGAAGGCGCTAAGTACATTATTCGTGGTCTTCAAGGCAAACTCCGAATCGGACTTGCGGAAAAATCAATTTTGATGGGTTTAACTTACGCGTTTATGACAGACAAAGAGCTAAAGGACAAGGAGAAACAACAGGAAGCTCTCGCCTTTGTTAAGAAGGCGTTCGCTGAGTGTCCTAGTTATAATGCGTTGGTTGCAGCGTTTTACGATATTCAGAAGCAAGTTCATACCGCCCCTTTCATTCGTGTCAGAGACTTCATAGAGGTAGCTGAAAAGTGCGTTCTGACGCCAGGCACGCCCGTGTCGCCAATGCTGGCACAACCTACAAAAGCGTATGCAATGGTGTTTGATCGCTTTGAAGGAAAATCTTTCACCTGTGAGTATAAGTACGATGGTGAACGTGCACAGATCCATATCCTTCGAAGCGGAGAAATTGCCATATTTTCGCGAAACTTCGAAAATTCCACCGAACGATTCCCCGATGTCAAGCTGGCGATCTCGAATGCTGCCAAGAGAAACGTCATTATCAGCTGTATTATCGATGCAGAGGTGGTCGCCGTAGATCGTTCCACAAACAAGCGCCTGCCTTTCCAGACTTTAAGCACACGCTCTCGAAAGGTATATTGATTCTTATTATTGTAAATCTTTTCTCATATTGAAATCCTTTTACGCTGATGACAGAACGTCAAATTGGAAGATATCAAAGTTCCTGTCTGCATATATGCGTTTGACTTGCTATATCTGAATGGTGAATCTTTCCTTGGTACTTCGCTGGCAAAACGACGTGAAAAGCTACGTGATATATTTGAAATTAAGCTCGGTGACTTTGAATTTGCTTCTTCGATAGACGTTGAGGATGGCGTCAATATGACGGACAACCCAGAGGCGATGGAAGAAGCAGTTAACAAGGTCCGCAACTTTTTGGAGGAAGCTGTACGTGAAAACTGTGAAGGTCTGATGGTGAAAACCTTGAAAAAGGAGGCTACGTATGAACCCGCGAACCGCTCTCACAAGTGGCTAAAGCTGAAGAAGGATTATCTGGACGGGATTGGCGATTCAGCTGACTTGGTCCCGATCGGTGCGTTCTATGGTCGTGGCAAGCGTACTGGAGTCTATGGCGCGTACTTGCTGGCGTGTTTCGATCCTGACACGGAAATGTACCAACCAATTACGAAGCTGGGGACGGGTCTGTCTGACGAAGTGCTCAAAAAGTTTTACGACCAATTAAAAGAGAAGGTCGTGAACAAACCGCCAAACGATTACGCCATCATTGAAGGCATAAAACCTGATGTTTGGTTCGAAGCAAGCTGTGTATGGGAGATCCTAGGTTCGGACCTTTCGATTTCGCCCAAGTACACAGCAGCAATTGGTCTTGTGGCTAAAGATAAAGGCATTTCACTGCGATTCCCTCGCTTTATCCGCATTCGTGACGATAAGGAGACGACACAGGCGACCAGTTCCGCTCAGGTAAATAATTTAAAAATGTCGCTTTGTGATTTGGTACTTACTAATGGTTACCGTTGTGGCTATCATCAAGATTGCCGAACTGTATCGGGCCCAGGGCCTTACGACGGTAGCCAATGGTGAAGACGAAGAGGACGATGACATGCTGATATAGAACCAAATTGGAACTAATTGCGAACGAAAAGATACTTTTATTCTTTCTCATAATTTGTTATGTCGTTGCTAATTCCGGGCAAGAGAGTATTTAACAGCAAAGTCAGCCAAGAAACGTCGAGATGCAGACCCTAATAATAAAGGTACAAGGTTGGCAACGTAGCCCTTCCATATATATACTAAAGCATGGAGCTCAGAGGACGCCGACGGCACGATCAACAACGACTTTTAGTCGAGTTGGAGCAAAATGACTCTCTGTATCCGTGGGAAAAAGCAGATGAAAGCAAGAGAATAAACTCAACCAGAAACGCAAACCGTAGCCGACCGCTCAATCCCAGCTATGGCAACCATGTCAGCACCGTATCAACGCCACCTTATCAGCCACGAGGATTTCGAGACACAGCAACAAAGCCGCATGCAGAGCGTCGGACGCAGCAGCTTGATGTCAAACGCTTAAGCTCAAAGCAATCGAAGAAAGATGTATTTGGAATTAATAGGGACTCAAAACTTCCGCGCTATCAGCAGCATTGTGCACAGCAAGCTGCTAGGTTGTCTTTGGCACAACCATCGGCGGCTCAAGTTATGATCAAGGCGATTCGACAAAACATTGACTTACGTGATCAAGTGATGGCGCGATTACATCAGGGCCTGATGGGAGAGCTGCCTCTGCATCGGGTACCGCGCTTGGAGGATAACTTACCGCGCTTGGGGGATAACTTCCCGCGACAAATTATAACATTGCTTAACAGGATGCGCAGTCTGTCTCTGAGTTTGGTGGAGGCCGTCGTGTATTTGAGCAGCGAATTAAGCAACTTTGACGCGGATACCTCCGATTACGTACACGACACTTTACACAAAGAATTTTACCCCTATTTGCTACAAATGGCGTCATGTAATACCAAGTCTCTCACGTGCTGCTCTCCCCAGCTACAGCAATTATTTGTAGACTTTCAGGCTAGCTTGACGCGAAACCCATTTCTGGATGGTTTGTCGCTGGACTCGTCCGAGATATTATTGTGTTCTTGCCATCAAAGCATGTCGTCTAGTGGTTTATTCTGCTCAGCTTCGTCTCTAACATCGTCACGCTTGCGATCTTTGACACAGAAACTTGCATTTTTTGCACTTCAGACGCAACGATACCTTCCAAGCTGGCAAAACTTACCAGCAGAGCGAGTGGTTGCGGCGTTGCTTCATCTACTGGATGTGGAAGCCTATTTAACTGCCAACCCAATTCTGCCAGGGTATCTCAATTCGCACAATAGCCACGGAGATTACTTGCATCGTTCCACCCAGATGGAGTACGGACATGACGATGGAGTTTTGGAAAATGAAAGCATACAACGGCGGTATTCTCATGTTCTACATGAGGAAGGCGATCAATTTGCAAGCGGAATACCCGTGATAAATGCTTGGGCTGGTTCACCAACAGCGAAAATGTCAGGGCCGTCCGAATATAGTCCATCAAAACTACGAGAATCAATGAAACAGTCGTCTTGGCGAGAAGATGACTCAAATCAATTAAACAAGAAAGATGTGATGTCATCTGCAATTAGACTGCCGTTTCCTACACAATTCAACATTTCTGATAATACGGGCAAACACGAAGACATCAAGTTATTTGACGAAGGTGAAAGGAAGTCAAGTCTCGTAAATCAAGCTCTGCTCTCTAAACGCACGATATATGCGACGCAGGAGAACGAAACAGACAGATCCTTTTCTTCAGCATGGATTCAACAATCTCCCGGTCCTAACTTTGATCGAAAAGATTCACTCCGGAATGGTTTTGCTACATTCACGTCGACAGAAACTTCAACTGATAGTCTTGATCTGAATCAAACTAGAGTGGTGTTGCCATTACCCTCGCTAGATTTGAATACAAGTGCTAAAGTCACGTTGGATCGATCTGGTATTCAAAAGAATCTTAGTCGCAAAAAGACGGGAAACATCGATGCCGGTACTAAAATGAGTCGAGCAAGCTCATTAGATGAGGATAAAATGGAGAGGTCAAAGAGCATTACAGAGTATGATGAGTTTTGTCGTGCTCGCGAACGAATTGATGAGGAGACAAAGCTATCCGTTTTGGTGAACAGACACGCATTTTCGCCAGAAGTGAGACCTGCAACAAAAACATTTAGGTCGATAAAAGCTTTGGATTCTATTGAGCCTACTGACGCTTCAGCTGGAGAAAGTAACGCTGCTTTATCAGTCAATTACGGTACAGCGACAGATTACGAGGACGGATGTGGATGCGACTTTGAGTACTCGTCTGACGCGGCATTATCCGGTATTGCGATGGTATTGCAGATGCTGCCGGATTTTTCCCTCTTCACTTCAACGCCTTTGCCAGTTGTTGAAGAAGTGGAATTCAAAAACGATGTGCGAAATATTGAAGGCGAAAATGGAATGCTGTGCACAGCGAACGAGCAAAAATTAGTTTTAATCGACAGTGCTGTCATGGATAGCGCATATACTCCACCGTTGATTGCTAACGTGGACCCAATACCGACGTCCAGGACGCTTGCACCAATCGTGAATGGCGGCATATTAGGAAATTGTGTATATGAATTGGAAGATGTCGAACAGAAAGCGGATTTGCTCAAATCAGATATCGACGAGTTCGCCTATACGTCAGAATCAGCAATCTCGAACATTGCTATGGCCTTAAGTTTATTGCCGAGTGTCTTGAATCATCAAGTTTGTTCCGTTTCAGCAAAGGAAGCAGACATTCAGTCGAGGATAGATTCGTTCAAGAATACCACGTATCAATCAATAGATACTAGACCAATGCAACTTCAGCAAACGCCAAGAGTCGACGAAGCGGCAAATGTATCGATTGAGTATAACGCACAAAAGTACTCTTTTTCGCCTAGTCTACGCAGCATCGGTGGAAAAAATTCAGGTACTTCATTCTGCAGCGAGACTTCTGCCGTCGACGACAGCGTTGCGGCAAAAACATCGCCTGCTCCATCATATAGCGCAAATTTTGCTGCGTTGAGCTGCGTTGATGCCGAAGCATCCGACTTAAAACGCATCTTTGCGCTTTGTCAAGACATTCAGGTGACTGCGCTTGATATGAGTCGGTGGATCTCTCAACAAGAATTCGAGGATAATATGCGTTCGCTGGCGCGGCCATTTCTGTCGGTTACGAGTTACTCGTCACCGTGTAGGCCCTGTTCAGATGATGCTGTCAGATTCTTAGAGTCCGAACTGAAGATGCTGCGACGAAACTTGATATGCTGGAAAAAATGGATTGTTGATCATCAAAGTGCAAAGTCAACGGTTCGTAGAGTAGTGGCAACGCGAAAAGTCCAAACTTTTGTTCTTCTGCACCACATTCGGCACGTTCAAAATCAAGCTGAGAAGGAGAATAATCTTCGGTCTAATCTTGCGTCGCGGATACAGCGCAATTGGAGAATTAACAGGTACAACAGAGATGTGTCGAATCGTAAAGTTGCTTTTTGCGCTGTTAATCTGGCGTTCCGCCGTGTTGTTTTCTTTGTTGGTATATCACGACGACGACGTCAACGTGAACACTGTAAGGAGATAGTTGTGCGGTGGTGGAGACACGAACGGTCTCGTATCAAAAAGAAGAAACTAAGGCGGGAAAAAGCGGTTAGAGATCAGGACCGACGCGCAAGAGCTGAAAGGAACATTTATAACTTTTTAAAGGAAGTTTTACTTCGACGAAAGCTAATAGCAACGCAGGAATTGGCGAACAAGAGATTTTTTGAAAAGAAACGTAAATGGAATAATGCGAAGCGACAGATGAAGAAGAAATTGAAACTCGATGGTAAACATCGTATTGATCTTATTGCCGATTTGGATGCACAATTTGCAGATCTCGCGCGCAAGTATAAACAGTCTGAATACGAGCGACAAGCCTTACTCACGCATCATGAACGCTTTGTATGTCAACAGCAGCAAGCAGTCGAGATACGACGTAGACGGCTTGCAGCACTCAAGATCCAGATGTTTTTTCGAGTTTCTGTTTTTCACGAAAAGCTCCTTCGAGTGGAAGCACAGAGAAAAAAGTACGTTGTTGAGCTTCAAAAAGAGCACTTAACGAAGGCCAGGCGGAATTTTCAGATTCAAAAGCAACACACAACAACTCGAACGCAGGTGCGCGTGTTGAAGCGAAAAATTGATCGAATGACTCAAAATGCCATTTATACTGACACACAACACAACCACGTCGTTCAAAATTATCGCGAGCAAGAAAGAATTACTCGTGAGCATGTCGCTCGACAGAAGGTGAAAGGTTTTCTAGTCTATCGGATGGTTGTACGAAGAGCAAACCGCGAATGCCAAATGCTCTTGCGTGATCAAGCACAGTTACGAGCAGAAGTGGCTGAGATTGATGTTATGCTTTGTGAAGATCAGCGGGAGCAGCAGAGAGCAGCGTTTTTGATTGTGTCAGAGCTAAAGCAACGCTTGCTTGAAATCGAAGTGCGACTAGAGATTTTGCAAACTCAACTGGCTGCAGAGAAGGAGGAGGCAGCTCGGCAAGCAACAAAAGCTCCAGAGCACAGCAAACTTCAAGCCTTTATGCATCAGATATTGTCGTGGGGGGCCACGCACCTTCAGCTTACCGAGCTGCGGAAGGAAATTGACGCAGTAAGAGTGCTAGCAGCGGTTGAAATGGCTGAAGAGAAAAAGAAACAGCGTGAAGAGATTGACGCGAAGATACGAGAAATTACCTCAATCAAGGCGACAAGCGTCATCCAGCGGTACACTGGTCAGAAACGGACTTTCAAAACAGCTGAAATGATGCGAACACAGCTCGAGCACGAAACATTGAAGCAACAAGCTATTGCCGAGCGCAGTCGAGCACAGGTCGTGCAACTCATTCTCGATGTCAAATTACTGACAGAGCGCGAGACTATCAGTGGTATTACACAAGGCCTACACGGCATGATGCAGGTGTGCAAGATGCAAGCTCACAAATTTTTCACACTAAAGCAGCTTCAAAATGACCATTTCGCACGCATTATTCAACGAGTCTGGCGACGACGTCAGCACAAGCATAAATGGCAAGAAACAGCTTTGGTGAGCATAAATGAAAATAAGCGAAAACAAAATTTTGTTCATAAGATCCAGGTCGGGTGGCTCAAGTCCTTTCAAGTGCGACGCAGACGGCGTGACCAGCAACTTGTTTTCGATGCGCACTTGGACAAAACTTGTATTCAAACCCATGTCCGCAAAATTCAGTGCACATGGCAATGTCGGGCTCAGCGTAAGGGAGAGCAACGGCGCATTTCGATACAAAATCCGGAGTTTATTTACCAGGAAACAAGCGTTCGAAAAATTCAAAAGATTTGGAAGCAATACTATCAATACGGGCTGGCACGAAGACACGTTAAGCGGCTGGCGCATGACGCGCTGATAAAATTAATTTGCTTACATGCCAACGCACGTAAGATCCAGAGAACGCTGAGACGTTGGGCTCAATCTGAGCTGAAACAAAGTCAGCAGCAGCAGCCGGCGCGTGAAGAGCGCACCGAATTAATAATTTATCGATTTAGTTTGAGCGAGATTCAGCAGAGATGGGGATGTTGGATGGACATCACAAAAAAGCACGAAGAACGCCATGTTGCTCATCATTGTGTGTATATAAATGTTGTGCGCCTTCAGCGGTGGTGGCGAAGAGTGCGGCAGAATTCGAGGGCAAAAGCTACAAAGGACCGTATCGTGCGGAATGCTTGTGCTCAAGTTATAAAAAAAAAGTGGAGACATTGGCATCGTATGCGAGTAGCTCAATGCGAAGCACGAAGGCAGTACGAAATGGAAAATCTTGAAACTATATCCAGCAAACGGATACAAAACGTCTGGAGACGATGGCATAAAATGAATGTCGAACGGAAACAAAAAGTGAATAATGAGTATATATTCGCGACTATGTTGCAGCAGAAAAGTTCCGAAGAATTCGCTCTTCGAAATAGAGAGGGAGTTGAGCGTAAACAAAGTATCCAAGAGCTGCGGGTACAGAAGTCAGGACTTCGAAGGCACCTTGCTGAAGAAGCAAGACGATCTAAGCAGCGGGCTATAGAAAATTGGCGTGTTAGCTCCGCTTTGTTGCTCCAGCGAAAATGGAAGATAGCGCATCACAAACGAATACAGGAGGAGCAAATCGCCAACGAAAATGAAGAGCAGCTACGTCAGCGCAGTGCTATTAATATTCAAACGTTTTGGCGTAAGAAGCAGGTGCAGATGAAAGTACAACTTCGGATTGAACGTTTGAAAGACCTTCACGACACAAGATTAGTAGCAAACCAGCGGAATTGGAGCAGCCGGCACTACGGAAATGAAATGGAACGTCAGAAGATTCAGCACAGACAAGTCACAGCTGTGCTAGTAATTCAAACGATGTGGCTCAAGTGGCATCGTGTATTGAAGAAAGGCATCGAGCGGGGACTTTTTCGAATGGAACGAGACAAAATTTCCATCCAGATTCAACGAAATTGGGAAGTATCACAACAGCGACGAAAAATGGTTAGAGAACATCCTCGCAATCGGGAAAATTTTAATGCATTGATAATTCAGAAGAACTGGAGGTGGTTGCGGTACCGTTACTTTGAGCGACCAAGCAAGATTAACAATATGGCATCACAAAAAGTAAGAAGTGGTGTGGAAGCAGAGCTAAAGGCTGTACAAGATGATCAATCATATCACGTAAAGTTAAGTATCAAGGAAGTCCTTGGTCAACGTATTGTTCGAGCAGCCAAGAGGTATTTAAAGAATCAACGGGAAATCAAAGCTGCAACTAAGATCAAGACAGTGTGGAAGAAAAAAGTGTGTCGAAGCCAGTATATGCAGCTGCTTGAGGAAAAACATGCAGAAGAAGCTCGCCAGTATCAATTAAAGCTATCAGTCGTTGCAGCTAAAGTACAAGCATGTTGGCAACAATGGCATGGTGGGCTCCGTCATGCAAAGCGAGCAGCTGTGAAAAACGAAGAGCTTCACCTGATTCACGAGGCGAAAGCTTTGGAGCGAAAGCTGGCCGCGGCAAAACGCACGCTGGCTGCAAAACGAATACAAAGATCTTTGGCTTCTCGGAAGCGTTTGACTGTCTCTAAAGGTGTCTCCTCCAGCGAAATCGCAGGCAACTTCGATCCATCTAAAGACAAAGAGGATATAGAGGCATTGAAAGAGCCAGTCTTCGAGCTCACAGAAGGAACAGTGGATCAGTCACAGATGGAATGCGAAAGTGATGATGAAGCGCTCAACGTTTTAAAGAAGGATATAGCTCGTACGACTATCACGTGGATCGTCGAAGACTGGAGCCACCGCCACCTGCCGCACATACTATCGCGTAGTGTGAATCAGATATATTTTTGTCACGAGGCTGCAATTGTGCTTCAAAAGTGTTTTCGAAGCTATCAAAGACGTCAACAGCTCCAAATTTATTTTCAGCATGAATGCGTATGTAGTTTACAGAATTCGGACACAAAAGCCGACAGTGTTTATCTACACTTTTACTTGAAACAGGCTCGTGCGTGGCTCGCTTGGGACGTTCCTCAGTCATCCAGTGCCGTATTTTGTAATGGAGGACACTTTGCTCTTTTGCGTCTTCGTTTCGACTCGCAGCTGACACGTAAGTTGTTGCAAATGTTTGAGCCAAATAATCATTATCCAACGTCCAAAATTCTTGAGGTTTTGCGTGCAATTGCAATTGATGCTGTGCCGATTTTTCAATCTCCAGTCTGCTTGGAAGATAATGACAATCCGAAGCAGGGATTGCGCTACCACGTTGTTGGAGAACTGGAACTTCCCCAGTTTGTTCTTCAGCTTCAACAGATGGAACACGATTTTGTTCGGAATCAGCATCTCATGAACATCGCTATAGATTCTAAATTATCGTCGCTTTCATCATCGAACTCAAAATTGATGACTTTGATGGCACCATCGCCCTCGTCGCAGAGCGCAAAGGAGAAAGTAACAATTTTTGATGTGATTAAAATTGCATCCGTAGAAGATGCATTGTGTCTACAGCAAAATGGAGTAGATATGTGGACACTTGAGGTGAAGACGCAGCGCAATGCTTTGCATTTGCTGTCGTTTTCAAAAGGGAGTGATTCTTCTCGCTTGAAGCTGCTGGATTTTCTACTTAACTGTGCTGGTCTCATTAATGTTAACGCTTTGGATTGCAACGGTGATACACCATTGATGTTATATGCGTCACATGGGCATCTCGGTTTGATGCAAAAACTGCTACGAAACGGAGCTAATGTACACGTTACCAACAAAAGCGGCCAAAACTTGCTGCATCAAGCCTGCGAGAACGACCAAGTTGAAATCTGTGGATTCTTGCATCAACTTATGCTTAAAGACTCGATTGCAGCGAATCTGCCGACAGCAAACACGATTTCACTGTCGGTATTAACGGCTCAATCACTCCACACTCCGGATAAAACCGGGCGTTTTCCTTTGCATTATCTTGTTGAGAAGGGATTTGTCGAATGCGCGAAGCAACTAATGGTCCATATAGAAGCTCATCGCGATTGGAACCGCATGCTACAAGCTCAGAGAAATTCAGACGGTCGAACGGCGTTGCACCTTGCTGTTCGAACGCATAATGTAGCCATGACAGCGCACCTGCTGACTATTGACGGTGATACCGATGTCAATACGTACGATTACTTGCATCGATCGCCGCTACACTATGCGGTCGAATCACCTGCTGCGCTATCGCAAATTTCTCATTTGATACAACGCGGAGCAATTGTAAATGTAGCGGACGAAAGAGGCGACACGCCGCTACACTGGGCGGCGTTTTCTGGCCGTTTAGCTGTGACGCAGAAGTTGCTGTCGCTTGGTGCAGATTCAACACTGACCAATAGCGACTGGGAGACTCCCGCTCAAATTGCTGCAGCCTTTGGCCAGCTGGATTGCATGCAACTGATCCTTCGAGCTCAACAAGAGTTGAGCGCTGATACGGCAAGTGATCAAATGCTGCAACAGATCAAGCTTTCACCTAATGACGATTTTGGTTTGCTGGAAGTAGAGGAACCTGCCAGCAACCTTTATCGACAAGCCTCAACTCGATCTTCTGCCTATAACGATGATGATGCTGCTGCTAAAAAAAAATTCAGTGCAGACCAGGCTTATGAACGTTACTGGGAAGAACTGCATCAAGATGTTCAACTTGTCGAAGAAAGTGGGCAGTTTTCATCGGATGACGAACCGGAGTCTAGTTCGATTGCTTAGCTCAATGCGGTAAAAATGAAGTGGTGAAATTTTTTTGTATACGCAATAATATTATCATGGCAATTGCACAACATCAGGCCAATACCAATCGTGCACCTGGTCAAATCTCACAAATAATGGACAGCCAGCGACCAAAATAAAGAATTCGGCTCGTGCACGCGCGCCTTGAGTGACTGACGTTGTGATACAGACGACAGTGGCAGACCAACACAATGGCTACTAAGACGTGTGTTGCCTTTAAGTGAGACCATGTTGACTCATGCACCCGGCAGGTGTATATGCAACGAAAAAAAACTGCGTGGTGTTATAATTTGGCATGATCAATAGTGCAGACCGCCTACGTCTTTAGCAAAAATGGCGCTTTCGACGCAGAGTTAAAGAAATACGAGCAGTACGTACGATGATATCATCCACATCCTTGTGGTCGTTGAGCTCCTAAACGGGTAGTTGCGGATTCTTGCCAATCTCTAGAAAGTCTCTTACGTTAAAGAATTCTGATTCTTTCAAGACTGAGACATGCAGCTCTCCGGCCTGCAATTTGTCTCAAGCGCAAAGCGGGCGGCAATGACTATGATTGCCAGCCCCGCGAGATGTCCATGCCATGCTTGTTGAACATCTGCCAAGCTGCGGGTGCACCCTCTTTCGATAACCTATAGTTTGTAATTGTAAACAGGGCGCGTAGAACAAAGCTATTTTTCAAAGTACAACGCACTAGAAACAGACCCTGACAACTACTTATGTCCAGAGCTATGTGCGAACCATCAAATGATAGAGTGCTGACGAAGAATGGCCTACTGATTAAACTGCTCGAGAAATGTTTTGGATTCAAATGAGCAAGCAGTTTACTTCAATAGATACTCACCGATCTAGAGGTCAGCATGTGTATTTGTTTTGCTAAAATTTCCACCTTGCAGTGCTGGCCAAAAATATGTAGCCATGACCTAATTCTCAAATTTTCATGTCAATTTTCAGCGAAATACCCTAAAACCACTATTGAGACAAAGAGCTTCCGGAGCATATCATTTTTTTTTCACAGACAATTTTTCGTTGCGGAGATCAAGAAGCGACCATCACTCTGACC